AGGTGATTTAAATGGATTTAAATTTCTGGTTTAACATCCCAATTAGATTAGGACCTCGTTTTTAATTAGATTAAAATCGTATTTATGCTATTTTTGGCCTACGAACCCCGATTTCGACTCAAAAATAGTGAATTTTGGGTGGAATCTGTTGAGTTATTTAGAGTGTTGTGGTGGAGAGCTCGCTCCACTTGTTAGCGCGCTCGTGAAAGGCAAGCGTGACCTACTCCAAAAGCGCGACAAAATCGCGCTGAGTTTCTAGAAAATCTGTCAGATTTTGGAGGCGCGCCCGCGCCACATTTTGGCGCGACCCGCGCCTAGGGCGCGACAAAATCGCATCAGGTTTCTGGAAAATAAGATTTTTGGAAGAACGAGGAGGAGCGCCCGCGTGAGCAAGTGGCGCGCCCGCGCCTCCTTGCTCGCGCCTGTGCCTCCTCGCTCGTCTTCGGTTTTGCGGTTATTCCCTTTATATCGTATCGATGCTTTGTTTTTGGACATATAGAAAAATTCCTTCCACTCTGAAATTCTTCCCTCTCTACATTATTATTGAAGAACTTTGCAAACTCTTCTTTAATCCTCCATCATTAAAGTTTATTGATTGAGAATTTAATCATCTTATCACACATCTTTGTGCTTAGAGTGTGGTGTTGTCTATTGTATCTCAAAGTGAGTTTTTGGTTTCAACCCAAGCACCGAGGTGGGGGAAATTATCACTTTAGGAAAGTGTATACACGCCTTAGACAAGTATCCGGTATAGAAGACTCACGTGGTCATTGGTTTTCTCATGTTCTTGGTGGTTTTCAGCTTGGAGTGAGGCAAGTAAAGAATCTTTCATATTAGTATTATTTTGTTGTAATTTCTGTTTTACATTGTTAATTCAGTGCTTGGTTTGTAATACTACGTTAAGTATTTGGTGTTGTAAATTTCGTTGGAATTTATACACATTCTAGGGTTTATCCACCATAGTTAAGTGATTCTTGTTGTGTAAAATTGCATTGTAAACCCTAACAGAATCGATGCTCTAAATCATTCTTTACCCACAAAGGAATTAAAAATGACCTTGTAGAAGCCACAATCCACCTACAAAGTGGTTTTTCGAGGGGTTTTCGTTTGAACGAAATTTTTTAAATCTTTAAACCTTGATTGATGCGGAAACGGATATGGGTTAAGGTGTTTGGGTGATAGGTTATGTGTCTAGGCTAGGTGTTTCTGTGGGAACAGGGTAAGGAAAGAACGAAGTTCCTGACAACGAGGAACTCGAGGGTTGATTAGCAAGGAACACTCGCAATACTAATCAAGGATAAGTATGGTTAGAGTTAAACACTCACTCTACTAACCATAAACAAGCTAATCCCGAACACTCTGGATTAAACTCACAAAATCGAATCCACGAGTTCAAGCTAAACTTGAATCCACAAGTTTAAGACAAATAAGACATAAAATATCTTGAATTGTTGTATTTCATTAAAAGTTTGATAGATGAATGAATTACAACCTAGAATAAAACTTCCTTTTATAGGCTAAGGAAGTAGCTAGTTACATTAATTCTTCTTAGCTAAAGTAATTAAAAAGGAACTTAAAAGTCACCAACTAGCTAAAAGAACTCAAAAGTCGCCAGGTACCATCAGCCCTCATGTGTAACGTTTTCCTTGGAAATCGTCACATATTAAAGACTAATAACTGCTGAAGTTCCTTTAGAGGGGTTCCTGAAGGAACTCGCCGTAGCGCCCAGCTTTCTCCCTTGTAACGGCTGACTGTTACAGCTTTATTACAGCACTTTAAGCTTAGCTAATTACTTCTAACAACTGAAAATTAAACATATAATTAACTAGTATTAAAAAGCAATTACACTTAGGAAATTCAAAACTCAAAAGAAGCATCCAAGGGCATGTAACCTCCTTCATAAACGCTACATTGAAGCTTGTAACCTCCCATTGATTTCCTTGTTGGATGCCTTCATTTATTTGCGAACTTGGACTGAAATAAGAGGGAGGATATTCCCTCGTCTATGCTATAACTCACGCCCAAGCATCCATAAGGCAAGCCTTGACTAATATTCTACCCAAGTCACACAAGACTTGATTGGAGATGAAACCATGACAAATCCCATGCGTGAACCTTGATGGAACTTGGACCCTTGTATGAACAAACTATGGACCAAAGGAACTTGATCTAGTTGAACTTTAGAACGTGTTAATGGACCCTTCGAACCATGCATTGGACCATTAGACTCGTTAGCTTGTAGTGAACCTTTAACCATATCCAATTCCGGATCATTCCCTCCTTCCTCGAAAAAGCTTGCCCTCAAGAATTCATCATCCAAGTAAGGAGTGAGATCACCCACGTTGAAGGTTGAGCTCACATCTCCATAGTCGCTAGGAAGTTCAATCTTATAGGCACTCTCACCCACCCTTTGGAGCACATGAAATGGACCATCCGACCTAGGCATGAGCTTGTTTTTGCGTAGGTTAGGAAAACGTTCCTTTCGAAGATGTAGCCAAACTAAGTCACCCTCCTTGAACCGTGGTTGAGAATGGTTCTTTTTGGCCTTAGCTTTGTATCTTTCGTTCATGGCCTCAATCTTCTCATGAACCTTCTTGCAAGTCTCTTGAAAAGACTCCCACCTTTTCTTAGCATCTCCATGCACCAACTCGGTTCTTGGCAAAGGAATGAGTTCCAATGGTAACATCGGATTTAGACCATAGACTATCTCAAATGGAATTTGGCCCGTAGTGTAAGAAGGAGTCCTATTGTAAGCGAACTCAGCATGAGCTAGCTTCAAGTCCCAATCTTTCTGTGTCTTGCTCACAAGTCCTCGCAAAAGTACACCCATGGTTCGGCTTGTAACTTCGGTTTGGCCATCTGTTTGGGGATGATGGGAGGTACTAAACAAAAGCTTAGTCCCTACAAGTTTCCACAACATTCTCCAGAAATGGCTAAGGAACTTAGTGTCTCGGTCCAAAACAATGGACTTTGGTACGCCATGTAAACGAACCACCTCTTTGAAATACAAATCGGCCACCTTCGAAGCATCATCGGTCTTGTGACATGGAATGAAATGAGCCATTTTTGAGAAACGGTCCACCACCACCATGATACTATCATTGCTCCTTTGGGTTCTAGGCAAACCCACCACGAAATCCATGCTCACAGCTTCCCATGGAACACTAGGGACGGGCAAAGGAACGTAAAGACCTTTGTGAAAAGTACTTTTGGACCTTTGGCATGTTGCGCAACGTTCTACCACATGGCTCACGTCTCTAGTCATGTGAGGCCAATAGAAGTGTTCTTGAAGGATCTCCACCGTCTTATGAACACCAAAGTGACCAGCCAAACCACTACTATGGACCTCATGCACCAAGAGTTCACGCACCCCACATTTAGGCACGCAAAGCTTGTTGCCTTTGAACAAATATCCATCCTGTATCACAAAATCTTTAGAAGGATTGTTAAACAGGTTAGAAAAATCATCATCATCAGCATATAAACTTTTCAATTGTTCAAAACCCAAAATCTGTGTTTGAGCTATGGACAATAAAAAGTTTCTTCTTGACAGAGCATCGGCAACAACATTCTTCTTTCCTTCCTTGTACTTGGAACTGAATGTGAATGACTGTAAAAACTCAACCCACTTAGCATGGCGTGAATTAAGTTTTTGTTGGCCATTGATAAATTTCAAGGCCTCATGATCCGAATGGAGGACGAACAGTTTTGGCCGCAAGTAATGGGACCAATGATCAAGAGCATGTACTATGGCATAGAACTCCCGATCATAGGTAGAATAGTTCAACTTGGCACCGTTCAACTTCTCACCGAAATAGGAAATAGGTCGTCTATCTTGCACCAAAACGGCACCTATCCCCACGCCAATTGCATCACATTCAACCTCAAACAACTTATCAAAATCAGGCAAAGCCAAAACTAGAGCAGAACACAGTTTAGCTTTAATTTCTTCAAAGGCCTTTTGCGCAGACTCGTTCCATTTGAACACCTTGTCCTTAAGAAATTCGGTCAAGGGAGCAGTAATGGTGGAGAAGCTTTTGATGAAGACTCTGTAGAATGAGGCTAACCCATGAAAGCTTCGGACTTCATGGAGATTCCGTGGCACCTCCCATGTGGAAATGGCCTTCACCTTGCCGGGATCAACCTGTATACCTTCACTAGATACAATATAGCCTAGGAAAGTAATACTATTACAGAAGAAATTACACTTCTCTAATTTTCCATACAATTTATGTCTATGTAAAGCAGTAAATAATAATCTAAGATGGCCTACTTGCTCATTTTCATCTTTGCTATATACTAGAATATCATCTAAATATACAACAATGAATTTGTTCAAAAAGGGTCGTAATACCTCATTCATTAGACGCATAAACGAGCTAGGAGCGTTGCACAAACCAAAGGGCATGACAAACCATTCATAGAGCCCTTTCTTAGTCTTGAAAGCGGTCTTCCACTCGTCACCTTCTCGAATTCTCATTTGGTGATAGCCACTTCGCAAGTCAATCTTGCTAAACACCTTAGAACCACTCAATTCATTCAACATGTCTTGCAATCGAGGCATGGGAAATCTGTACTTGATAGTGATATTGTTGATGGCTCGACTATCAATACACATTCTCCAAGTTCCTTCTTTCTTTGGCACTAATAATGCCGGAACTTCACACGGACTTAAGGACTCACGCACGAAACCCTTAGCCACAAGCTCATCTACTTGTCTTTGCAATTCCTTTGCTTACTTGGGATTGCAACGATAAGCCGCCTTGTTGGGAAAAGTCGCCCCTAGTATTAAGTCAATGGCATGTTCAATGCCTCTAATGGGTGGTAACTCATCAAGGAGTTCCTCAGGGAACACGTCCCGAAATTCCTTCAACAGGGACCGTATGGTAGGAGGGTAAGTTCCATCCTCCATGCCTTCGGAACTTGGTTTCACTACCAACACGAAAGCGATTCCTTCTTGCTCATACAATTCATCAAATTCGGCCATAGTATTAAAGAAATTAGGCTTTTTCTTCTCTAACTTTCTCTATTTTAGGGGGTAAAGGTAGTAGCTTGATTTTCTTGCCTTCGTTAGTTTTGACCGTATACACATTTGTTACACCATCGTGTATAGCCTTACGATCAAACTGCCATGGATGCCCTAACAATATTTGACATGCCGTCATAGGAAGTATATCACACCATCGTTCATCACAAAAATTTCCCACGGCAAAAGCTACTAAGGCTTGCTTTCTCACACGTACACCGGAATCATTGTCAAGCCAATTGAGTTTGTACGGCTTGGCATGATCTCTAGTAGGAAGCTTGAGTTTGTTTACTAACTCCAAAGCAACCACATCCGTACATGACCCACTATCAATAATCATGCTACAAATGCGATCTTTTACCTTACAACGGGTGTTGAACAGATTTTCCCGTTGTTGCATATCTTGTACTGGTTTAGTGTACAAGATCCTTCTTACTACACCACAAAAAGAACTGTCATCTTCTTCAGGCGCACATTCATCACATTCACTGTCACTCTCTTCATCCTCATTCGTCACATAGCCACCTTCATGAATGGCTAGGGTATTCCTTTTAGGACAATTGGTTGCAATATGTCCCTTCTGTCCACACTTGAAGCAAGTGCGTTCACCTCTATCATCCACCTTGTTCTCGGGTTTCTTTGGGAACATAGGAGCTTTTCCCTTGTCGAAACGGTTGCTAGGCGTGTAAGCTTTGTAAGGAACACCGGATGTGTTCTTTGATTGACTATCTTTCTGCTGTGCCTCTACTTTATGAGCTGCCTTCACAACATCATCGTAAGTAGTGTAGGGTAAGAGGTCTACTTTATTGGCTATGCTTTTCGCAAGGCCTCTAGTGAAACGAGCCATCCTCAATGGTTCTGTTTCATCCAAATCACACAAGATACTAAGTCTTTCAAACTCCTTCACGTACTCATCAACAATCAAGTCACCTTGATTGAGGCAAGTGAGTTGGACATATTGATCTTGCACGTATTCCCGAGGAATCCAACGTTGCATCATTTTTCTTTTCAAGACTGCCCAAGAACTAATTTTCTCTTTTCCAGCACGTCTCCTCTTGGATTTGAGGTTTTCATACCACAATCCAGCTAACTTAGTGAGCTTGAGTGTTGCCAGTTTACAACACTTCTCATCATCATATTCTTTGTATTCGAAGATTGACTCAATCCTTCAAACCCAATCATTGAAAACTTCAGGGTCACTAGAACCATCAAATTCAAGGATGTCTAGTTTCAGGAACCGATCCTCCTGATTAGGGTGGAAATGGTTATGCTCACTTTTGGGTGTTGGTTCACCTTTTTCCAACTCGGACAATCTACGATTGTGTTGATTGGTGGCGTTACCTATCACACTTATTTGAGTGCGTACATCACGTAACTCCTCCTGCCTGGTTTGCATGGTTTGCATTGCAGTCATAAGTCTTTGTTCCATCTCACGTAGGAACTCATTCTGGTTCTGGTTGGATCCTGTCATGGTCACACCTTGGTCTAGACCGTGGCTGTAACCGTGGCTTTGATACCAACTGATGCGGAAACGGATATGGGTTAAGGTGTTTGTGTGATGGGTTATGTATCTAGGCTAGGTGTTTTTGTGGGAACAGGGTAAGGAAAGAACGAAGTTCCTGACAACGAGGAACTCGAGGGTTGATTAGCAAGGAACACTCGCAATACTAATCAAGGATAAGTATGGTTAGAGTTGAACACTCACTCTACTAACCATAAACAAGCTAATCCCGAACACTCTGGATTAAACTCACAAAATCGAATCCACGAGTTCAAGCTAAACTTGAATCCACAAGCTTAAGACAAATAAGACATAAAATATCTTGAATTGTTGTATTTCATTAAAAGTTTGATAGATGAATGAATTACAACCTAGAATAAAACTTCCTTTTATAGGCTAAGGAAGTAGCTAGTTACATTAATTATCTTCTTAGCTAAAGTAATTAAAAAGGAACTTAAAAGTCACCAACTAGCAAAAAGAACTCAAAAGCCGCCAGGTACCATCAGCCCTCATATGTAACGTTTCCCTTGGAAATCGTCACATATTAAAGACTAATAACTGCTGAAGTTCCTTTAGAGGGGTTCTTGAAGGAACTCGCCGTAGCGCCCAGCTTTCTCCCTTGTAACGGCTGACTGTTACAGCTTTATTACAGCACTTTAAGCTTAGCTAATTACTTCTAACAACTGAAAAATTAAACATATAATTAACTAGTATTAAAAAGCAATTAAACTTAGGAAATTCAAAACTCAAAAGATGCATCCAAGGGCATGTAACCTCCTTCATAAACGCTACATTGAAGCTTGTAACCTCCCATTGATTTCCTTGTTGGATGCCTTCATTTATTTGCGAACTTGGACTGAAATAAGAGGGAGGATATTCCCTCGTCTATGCTATAACTCACGCCCAAGCATCCATAAGGCAAGCCTTGACTAATATTCTACCCAAGTCACACAAGACTTGATTGGAGATGAAACCATGACAAATCCCATGCGTGAACCTTGATGGAACTTGGACCCTTGTATGAACAAACCATGGACCAAAGGAACTTGATCTAGTTGAACTTTGGAACGTGTTAATGGACCCTTTGAACCATGCATTGGACCATTAGACTCGTTAGCTTGTAGTGAACCTTGAACCATATCCAATTCCGGATCATTGATTAATTATGGCATGCAATTGTTGGATTATGTGTTTGATTATACCATTAATCATTTGCAATTTTACACCTTATTAAGCATGTTTATGAAGTCATATTGGTTGCTTAATTTGGTGAGCTCTTAATTTTACATAAGCTTGAAATTTCACATTCTTGCAAATAAATTGCTTGTAGTGTGAAAGTATACGGTGAAGATGATTTTTGAACCCCTTAAAATGTTAAAGATTCAATCTTTAATGGTTTAAATGATTGAATCTTAACTAGCTAAAAATCCATAATGAACTAATTTTTGGTTTTAATCATTTTGGAAGTTGATTTAAATCTTAAATGTTCATCCTTGTGTTTGAAATATTATTATTCTTCATATTGGAAGGTACAACATTCAAATGTGCATAAGTAAATATTGGATAAATTATGTTTTTGGATGATTAATTATTTATTCAACTTTTTGTCAAATCTCATTATTAATTTATGTTGGTTAAATTAATTGTGAGAATAACCCTCAATTTTTATAGCATCAAGTTGAGCCAAAAATAATTTAAATCAAGTTGAGCCAAAAATAATTTAAAGAATGGTTCTTGAATTATTTTGGTTTGTGCACTAAAATTGAATTTATTTAAGTTGGATTTATTTTATTTTTAATATTGCTCAATATTAGTTCTAAAATCAATTTAGAATTAATTTTAAAGTCACTCACATAAATGGGAATGAAATTCCGAAGCATGAGCATGTGAAACGAGGCCTCGAGCACTACCCTCGGCTAGTAGGGCTGCTTGCGCAACCCATATGTTGCTGCCGAGGGAGTGCGGGCATGCGAGTGTGTACGAGCATGTGATGCGTGTTGTGAAGGTGCGACTACCAGGCAGTAGCCCGCAAGGCAAGGCTGCCTAGCAGCGCCTGCGGCCAGCACACGCATTCGCACCAGCGACACGCAAGCATGCTAGGCATGCTGCGACGCTGCCGGTGCTGGAAGGCGCATGGCGCGCTACTGTGGCTGTGCGATCAGCACTAGCACGCCCGGTTTTGTGGCTAGGGTGCCTAGCCATCCTAGCCCCTTGGCTTGGATGCTAGGCACTCGACCATTGGGGGTTGCTATTTTGCTAAGTTTTGCGGTTTTGTTTTTTAATTAAAACGAGGGTAGGCCTCGGTTTTTCCCAGTACTTGCAAAATTATTTGGCAAAATTTTGGGTTAACCGGCTTAATTAATTTTAATTGGTTTAATTTTAATTAAGTTGGATGTGGAATTTAGTGGGAGCTTCATTAATCGTTTGAGCTTAAATTAGCCTTGTTTATGCAATTATTATTGCGTAAATTCACATAATCGAATAATTACTTTGACTAGATTTAATTAGGCGCGTTAATCGGATTAACCACCTAAGTTAGTAACTAGTTTTGCGCTCGTTTTGAATTATTACTTGAATTATATGTAAAATGCATGGGTCATTCAATTTAGAAGTGTATGGATGAATGAAATAGATATTCTAATGCAGGTTTTACAAAATGGCAACTAGTGGGGCCCGACTAGGATAGTAAATACGGTTTGCGTTCCATTTTGTATTTTTGTGAATCTTTATATGAACTATGTGCCGTTAAGTATTTTTGTACATTAATTATTTAGATTAGTCCTAGTTTTACTAGTAATTGCATAATTGTTGGAGATGTCTAAATGACAGCGTTTCTAAGAAGACAAAGCCAAGAAGATGCAATGAAAGGGCCTTGAAGATTCAAGTTTTAAGGGGTCATGCTAGTTTCCAAATGCATCTTTATTTATACCTTATATATTTGGCTTATATATAATTGTGATATTAGATGCATGTTTAGGATTTGGAATGTTGAATGATTAATTTAGTTCACTTAAATCAACCAATATAGAAACCCTAAATCCTTATAAAATTAAGTTAAAAATTGTCATTCTAAAATGACACTTACCGAAGTAATGAGAATAGTAATGGGCTATGCCAAAGCAAGGTATTACTACTTTCTTAGGGACGTAAAGTATACTAGGTATACGCGTTAGTTTTGGTTAAACTCAACGATATCAGTAAGGAGTCCTTAGATGTCGTGGCAATAGAGATAAACGTCAAGAAAGCATTAGATGCGACGTTTTATCGAACTAAGAATAGCTTAGAGCTATTAGAAATTGGATTGCTTACCTTAAAATATTAAGTGCTAAGAGAAGCCAAAACATGATTAATCACTTTTTATTTTTGAGGTCTTGGAATCATTTTATTCTCGTCTAAAAGGGACAATTTTAAATGTGTGGATAAAACGCTTAATAAGATTGAAAGTTTGCATGTATGCTTTAAATTTCTTTCTTATTGGTTTTATGAATGGTTTTTCATTGCAAATTCTTTCGTTTGTAGAAAAATGTCTGCTACTAACACCAACAACAACCAGTTTTTTCTCTGCTCAATTCTCAATAAGGAAAAATTGAATGGGACAAAATTCCTTGATTAGCAAAGGAATTTGCAAATAGTTCTCATGCAAGAGCTAAGGGAATACGTCTGATGGGCGATAGAACGATCGCACATTCCACACTCATTCAAACACATTTATAAGCAAACATCTCACAAACCAAGCACAATGATAAGTAAGAGTTCGGTCCACAGGAAACGAGATATAATCACTAAAGATCTTAATACGCAAGCTAGTTCGAAGACTTTTGTTGATTGGGGGTTCGTCAAGTAGACAAACAAACTATTTTTTCTAAATCGAGTAATTAAAAGTACTAGGGAATGGGATCCACTCAACCATGGTAATCAAGCATATTGGGAGCAAATGGAGACAAGAGATAGCAAGGACTATATGTAAGACCAACCTCATGTAATTAGGAAAACAACTCACACTCCTAAACTTAGATCCCTCATTAGTTTAGCAATAGGAGGCACATAATCAAATTGCAATAAGTAATGACATACTTAATCTACATTTCCATGTCAAACTAAGCATAACATGATATCAAGCTCCAAATTCTAGGGTAGCTACTCCTATCATGAAGAGCTAACAAGCAATCTCATACAATCAATTTAATCACAAATAAAACATCAATACTTCTCCCAAGTTTACTTAATTAACCATTAGGTTGAGTTTCACCCAACCCCTAGCCAAGAGGACTACTCACATGCAAAGTTCCAAGTTGGGATTCTAAGTAATTCTAAAATTGGGGAAAAGTGATTCACTATGGATAAAACTAACATGCAACAACAATTTATCAAGATTAAGAGAGATTCAAGTGACTTGCAATAACAAAATAAAATCAGAAAATAAGTAGAGACAAGTGAAAGAAGTTACTATTGAAGCTTCAAAATGTTGAATAAATGCTGAAAATCTGAAAATGAACCTTGAAGTTTTCTTCTACAATGATTAGAGTTGAGAGTTTCCAAACTAAATCATCAACTAATTTAATGAACTAAGGTGCTAACTAAGAGGAAGTTTTTCTTTCTAAAAACTATTCTACTCCGCTAATCTCTGTCTCAAAAACGATCTAAAAAGGAACTTAAATAGTCCGTATAAAGTCGGCTGAGATCGGGAAAAGGTCCGACCGAACTCTGGGTAGGATCGGTCGGACTCAGGGTAGGTTCGGTCGAACTATGGGTAGGTTCGGTCGAACCTCCCTGATCCTTGTTTGGTTGAACTTTTAAGGTTCGACCCCTCCTGCAAAATTGCTGAAAACTGGTTTGAAACTGCCTCCTTTGCACCTTGGAGGTTCGATCAAACTTTTCAAAACTTTGACCACACCTTGGTTCGACCGAACCTTTCAGAGGTTTGGCCACACCTCCTCTTGCACTTCCTCTTCTTGCTTCATCTCCTTCCCTTTTGCTCCTCTTGCCTTTGTTCATGCCTCCATACTTGGACAAGGGGCCTCCCACCGTGCTTAAGACATTGAACCTGCAAAAGATAGCAAAGATCACGAGAGCATGGGGATGTTAAAATAATGCATAAAGATTATCAAAACAAGCGCAAATAAGCATACTTTTCATCAACACATAAAGAACCCATAAGAGGAGAAATGAGGTAGAAGAACCTAAGAAAAATAGGAGGAAAGAGACCTAAACACTACCCCTAAGAGTGACATAAATGTCACTCATCAACGTCCTTGACGAAGAAATGCCCGACACTCCTAATGAGGAGGTCACTCAGTCTTAAACTGATGGCACGCTGCCAATCAGGATGTCAAATGCATCATGTTGGCCACAATGTCTCCAGATCTCCAAAAGACTTTCTTTGAGAAGAAGACGGCTTTTAAGATCATATCTGAAGTTCAGAATATGTTTCAAGAGTAAGCCCGAACTGAGAGGTTCGAGACCCATAGACCAATCCTTGAGAGCAAGCTCAAGAAAGGAGAACCCGTCAGCCCTCACGTGCTCAAAATGATTAGATTATTTGATAACATGGAGAGACTTAATGCGGGGTACTCGAACGAGATGGCAATTGACATTATTCTCCACTCGCTGCCTAAAGGCTATGATCAATTAAAGATGAACTATAATATGCACAACATGGAGAAAACCCTCACCGAGCTTCATGGGATGTTGAAGTAGGCCGAGCAAACGCTTAAGGATTAGGAGAAGCATGATATGATTATGGTCAAGAAGGGCAAGCCATTCAAGCACTCGGGCAAGAAGAAGGGCTACAAGGGGAAAGGTAAGAAGACCTTTCCGCCTAAGTCAAAAGCTACCAAGAGCAACAAAGAAAAGAAGGTACATCTTCTCAATCTGATTCGAATGTTTCTACTGTAAGAAGAAGGGACATTGGAAACGGGATTGCCTCAAGTTCAAGGAGGATAAGAAGAACGACACCGTTACTTTTGGATTAGTTCTATATGTTATAGACCTTAACTTTACTAGCAAAGCTTCATGGGTATTAGATACCGGATGTGGCTCACACCTTTGTTCCAATGCGTGAAGGGAGAAGTGGAACTTCGGGTAGGCAATGGAGTAAGGATTGCGGCCGTATCCGTTAGATACTTATCAGTTTGTCTTTGCCCTCTGGGCTTGCTTTAGAACTTGAAGATTGTTATCATGTTCCAAACATTACCAAAAATATTATTTCAATTTCAGCGTTAGACGCTAAAGGTTTTGAATTCTGGATAAGGGATAATAGTTGTTCATTTTATCTTGAAAATGTTTTATATGGTACGACATATTCAGAAAATGGTCTTTATGTGCTTTCACCAGACAAATAGGTTTATAATGTTAATGATACCACCAAAAATGCTAAGACCACCGAGTCGAATCAAACCTTCTTGTTGCATTGTCGTCTTGGCCACATAAACATCAAACGCATCAAGAAACTTCTCCATGAAGGGATTCTTGATTCATTCGACTTAAAGTCGTTTGAAAACTGCGAAGGATGCTTACTTGGCAAGATGATAAAACAACCATTCTCCAAGTTGGGAGAAAGGGCTAGTGACTCTGGGTCTTATACATACGGATGTGTGTGGACCAATGAGCACAACCGCAAGAAATGGTTATCGCTATTTTATCACATTCACGGACGACTATAGTAGATATGACTATGTCTACCTTATGTCGCACAAATTTAAATCCTTTGAGAAATTCAAAGAATTTCAGAGTGAAGTGGAAAATCAGCTTGGCAAGAAAATCAAAGCCCTTAGCTTCGATCGGATCGAGGTGGCGAGTATTTGAGCTACGAAATTGACGATCATTTGAAAGAACATGGTATTCTTTCAGGATTAACACCTCCCGGAACTCCACAATGGAACGGAGTATCCGAGAGGAGAAATAGAACTGTGTTAGACATGGTTCGATCAATGATGGGTCTTAGTGATCTTCCTATCTCTTTTTGGGGACACACACTTCTAACCGCGGCACTAACACGAATCGCGCTCCATTAAAAGCTGTCGAAAAGACTCTATGTGAATTATGGACAAAGAAACCTCCACGATTGTCTTTTCTTAAGATTGGGGTTACGAAGCATATGTCAAAAGACTCATGTCCGACAAGCTTGCACCAAAATCGGACAAATTGAAATAAAAAACAAGCTTTTGACATGAAATAGTTCTTATTTATAGGAAATTCATGAACACACTCCAGCACTTGCTTTTGACTTTTGCTTTTTATTATACTTGTACAGTACTTGCTGCAGCCTCATCGCCACTTGGAGTCATTGGTGGAGCTCGTGCTGGTCATGGAGTAGCAACCTTGGTAATATATTCAAAGTTACATATACTTCATATTAATTAACAATTTTAACAGGTTGTGAAGTTTATTTTCTCGACTTCAAGTCTCTCTCACATACTTAATAAGTCATCTAAATGCAGCTTAAAACCTTTAACCAACTGATTATGTCAATGCTGTATTATGGAATAATTAAAGGTTTTAACCAACTGATTTGAGCTGTCTTTTTACCTCTTGACGTTGATCGTGTCTCTGATTTGGTCAGAATTTGCATGTGAAAGAGAGTGCAGTAGAGGTGATGACTATCGTTTGATCAAGCTCAATATTGTTGATTTCACTGTAATAATTGCCAGAATATTCTCTCTATTTCATATCACTTTCTCTATTTCTTTTTACTTTCGCTGTAATATTGTTACTTTCGCTGTAATAGTTTGATCAAGCTCATTAGAATCATTGCAAATGTACAGCGTGCTGAAGTTTTTTTTTTTTTTTTTTTTTTTTTTTCATTTTTTTAAAGTGTAATATTACTAGTTATTGAAGAAAATATATGTGTTTTATGTAAATTATGATTATATACAAGTATTTGGTACAATTTAAGTGAAAAAGATGCAAAAATAAAAAAAAAATAAAATTTTGGGCATTTTTGGCACCGGTTTTGGAAAAGAACCCGTGCTAAAAGTTTTTTTTAAAATTTTTTTTGGGGACTTTTGGCACCGGTTCCAAGTCAAAACTATTGTACTGAAATAAAAAAATAAAAAAAAAAAGGCGCGCCATGGGTAATTGGCACCGGTTAACTGGTGCCAAAGAGTGTATTTAGCACCGGTTAACCAGTGCCAAATCTTTAAATAGCCACCGGTTTTGAACCGGTGCCAAATCTTCAGAGATTTGACATCCCTCAAATACCAACGGTTCAAAACCAGTGCCCAAAGGGGGGTTTGAACCGGTGCCTATTTATGTTTTTCGCCTAGTGAGTGAAGGAGATTCTCTAACATCTTTAGTGTTTACTTTAATTGAAAAACCATATATGGTAATTGTCTTAATTCCCAAATCCAATGCTATGTGAGATATTGCGCACCAATTCATCTATTTTTGCTGCTTTCAGTTCGCTTAATATGGCAAAAAAAAAATTCTCATGAACTAGTCCAACACAATCACACAAGTATGCTAGATATGCCACATCCTTGGTTAAACCTAATCCACCATAACACGGCCTTGAGTCATGAAAAAAAGGATTATTCATTCTTGGATGGCCTTCAATAGTGCTTTTAATACCACTAAAATTTGCTCCAACTTTATCACAAATAGACGACCCAATATTCATGACTGTCAACTGTGCAGCAATTGACGCATTTGACAGTAATTTTCCAATCTCCACTGAAGATGTAGAATTGAAGTACCATAGCCATTACTGACTAATCTCACATACAAATCACTAAAGAGGTCTTTAATAGTTCCATAAGCATTAGAAATCTTACCCATCACTAAATAGATTTTGACATTCATTAATCATAACTTCCATCCCTGGTCCAGAGAATGGCATGACCCTTGGAACACTATTAAGCTTATTAATTTTCTCCACATTTGTATCTAAGACATAAAATTGTAGATCTTTCCATTGAGTAGCAAGATCCATCATGCTAAGAATACCCATCCTTCCCGCACCAATACAGCATATTTTTTCACCAAGGTCTTCAGCTTCCATTGTAGGCTGATAGATATAACAGATTATTTTATATAAGCAAATTAAAAAATAAAAAAAGTTACCAAGTGAATTATAAGTTAAGTGTGTGAGATGATGGAAAAGCTTACTGGTAGGTCAGCAACTGAGTGACTATTAGCATCATCATCCATATAACTGTGGTATGACTTAGAAGATAAATAGGAGGTGAATTTATGTTATATTCCATTTAACTGTTAAGAGAAAGAGAAAGACGAGGAATGAGATGTAAAGTCTAATCTTTAATTTTCTGCATATTCGAAATTTATTACATTTATCAATATTACAATTTAATATGGTAAATCTAATCACAACATAATATAAATTATTAAACCATTTTAAAAAGTCATTCTAACAAAATCAATTACCTAAACCATAAATCCATGCTATTCTACAGAATACATCTGACTACAATAATAATGTACCAATTTAGTAATTTACAAACAACCCCTAATCAGACTAGAAGACATATACAGCAAAATTGGTCGTTGGTGGTGACTTTTTAGTAGTCGTGTAATCTCCCACATTTTTGAAGTAAATTATAATATAGTTCTTTATTACGTATATAAATATTTTATTTTGATTTCATTATATAAATTATTTTATGTAAAATTTATTTGAATTTTATAACTTCTATTTTAAATTAAAATCCTCTTCTTATTTACTAACTATTATTTGACAATAGTGTCATAATAATGGTAACCCAATTTTAAGCAAATAGAGCCTATTTTCATCTAACGCAATATATTGTGACCCAAAAATAAGTCATAATCCTATTGGAATTAGAAAAAGAGCTTAAACACCTAAGTCCATGCTCCTTAATCCTTAAAAACCCACAGACCCTTTCCCCTCACCTCACGTAAATCTCCGCTACCGCTTTCCCACTTCCCTTGCTTCACGATTTCACGAAAAAATAAAAGTCGCTGCTACACCAGCCACCGACCCACCTCACACCGGCGACCGCCTGCTGCCACACCGCCCAGCACACCACCAGCAACAGCCTGCCCCTCTCTCTTCCCTCTGATTTTTTTTTTTTTGGCTAAATTATCTTAAGTTTCAATCTCTAATAAGATTTTGTTTTAATTGTTATTATTATGGTTTGATTATGTATATGACTTGTAAAAGACTACAAATTTATGAATTATGCTGTATTTAATTTAGTGACTTAAATTTCAGATTTATTTAATAAAAAAAAATTAAGGTTTTAAAACTTGATTTTCATGAATTTAGGTCTTAAAAACGTGTTAGTCAAGTTACTTTTATATATAGTGATTATATTATGTTTAAATTTATATTTTTGGTGATTATAATTAATTTTCAGAGTTTGTTGATTATTTTGAGCCTCTAATTACATTGGATTGGAGAATTTTTGGGTTTAAAGCCTACTAGATTAATCTATAATGTAGATAGTTTCAAAGATTACTATAATTGTAAGATTTTATGTATAAAGTAAATTTTCAGATTTTATAAAGCTCTAAACTTGCTGTAATTTCATGAATAAGTATGTATTTTAAGGTTTTTATGTAGGAAACTTAAAGGAATATATATAAGCTTTTAATTTTAGTAAAAGGGAAGGTTTTAAAGTGTTGTTTAATTGGATTTTGAAGTTTTAAAGTAAGTTAGTATTGCTGTAAATTTGATTACTTGGGTATTGATTGAATTATTGTTGTTTGGTTTAGGAGAGGACTTCGTAGAAGGCGATTTCTAGTTTCTAAAACGACCAACCAATTCGTTTACTCAAGGTAAGTACAAGGATACGAAAAACCTTGATTTTTTCTTAAGGATTTGGAAAACTTAAAATCATGATTAGGAAACTTGTGTTCATTGAAATTGTTTTGTAATAAATCTCTTTGGTATTTATGCTTGAATGTGCATGATTTGTAATTTTATGTATGTTAAGTTATCTTGTAAGAAATTTTATATGCATTAACTTGCAAGATGAACTTGGAGGCAAAAATACATGAGCATGTGGATTGAATTATTATTATTACTTGTTCATGATTATTGAAATGGAATGAGTAAAGGAAGAATTGAAGTCTTATAAGACGAGGTTGAGAATTTGAGGTGCCTTATGCACTTAAGGTGTTTATACACCGAGGTAGTTTAAAGAATTCAATACTAAATGTTGTTAGTCACTACTAATTCAAGAATTAAATTGGAAAATTGAACTTGCTTGAATGATTAATGCTTGATTGGTTATATTGCTTTTGTAAATGAGTCACCACCAAGTTTAAACCTGTAACTCACGTAAAGTGCAAGATGGATGAGAAATAAAACTCTGGATTTGTGCACATCTAGAGTAATGACAAACAGGGGTTGGGGTACACGGGGTATTAGCCGTGCAATTTTCTAGAGGTCGTATGATTTACGAGTCTCTTGTTTTCAAATACTTTTTAAAATTATAAGAAGTTAGATGAGATCTCATACTAGCTATGGCCACAGAGTCGCGTCCGTCTGTCATTAAATGTTTACTGATGTTTTTGAAAGGAGGCATGGGGTTTTTCTTTTATTGATGTTCCAAATTAGAGCATGGGGAGACAACCTTGTCTATTACTTAATCCAATGAATAAATGAAATAAAGTAATTAATACTAATTAGAGAAGTCCTAGTATATATTGTTAACAGTTGGGTCATGTGTTTGAGTCAATAATTAAACTGTTGTGTGTTGATTGATAACTAGTAGCATGCTAGGAATTCTTTGTTATGCTTCATAGCTTGTATGCACTTAGCGTTGCTGATTGTGTGCATTTGTGTGTCTTTTCTTGGTCATGAATTTTGCCTTTCAATGATTCTTTAATGATCCAATTTTTACGCTTGTAATATTGGGGAGCAGACTTATTACAGGTGTTTACATAGTTTGGACTTGCATCAAGGTGGTGAGATTTTGAGTGGAGAGTTGGTTATTGTTCGCAGTTTATTTCTTTTCATAAGTTTGAATTTATTTAAACTCTGGTTTGGTTTATTTAATACTATGTTTATTGGGTTTTGAATAAGGGTCTTAATGGTTACAACTTGTAAGACTTAATTTGGTTTCGTTTGTTGGTTTTGAAACTTATTTATAACAGAGTTAGTTTTTCCGCTGCTAAGTTATGAATTAGCCTTGACGTTTGAACACGTGACGATAGCATGTCAGTAATTCTCTTGTGTTTTTATTAAAGGTACTTACATGTTTAATGAGAGAATTATTGGGGTGTTACAGGTCGGCCTGTAGTAGCTGTAGTGCAGCAGTTTGAGAGTATGACTGTAAGAGGGAGATTGGGTCCTTGGCGGCTTAGGGTTTTAGGTTTGTTATTTTCGATATTGGGCTGATATTGTTATTTGGCGTGTCAACATTGAAACGAACCGTGTCTTAGGGTGATATGGTCTACGTAGGGGTGAGTAAATCGGGTTCCCGGTCAAAATTTTAGGATCCGGACCCGAAATTGGTTGGGATCAGGTCCTAAAATTCGGAACCGAAATTGAAATTGGTTCAATCGGGTCCTAAAATTTAGGATTTGGAATTGGAACTACCGGGTACTGGTTCCGATTCCAGGTACCCATTTATGTATATAATTGTTAAAATATAATATAAATTATAATATTTTTTTAATCTATTCTTTTTTAGCGTTTAACACTTTTATTTATATATGCATTAAGCTATTTTATTTATGTTAGGTATTAATAATATAATTTTTCTTTTAATTTTACTAAATAGATACATTTAACATAATTTTATTTTAAAAAACTTACTGGTACTGTTCTATGCGCGAACGCGCGCGTTTCGTTTTGTGTAGACTAATTAATCAATCGTTGAGGAATCCGTTTAAAAAATATATGTAGTGTTAGGTTTATGTTAATATTTTTGTAATCAATTTAAAGGAAAAAGTGTAGAGTTCTCAATTGATGCACAATAAGGTTATGTAGTATGGAAAAATTACCTTGGTCCTTAAGAAGTTAGAAGGTTTTACAACAACTATGTTAGGCAAAGTAAAATAAGTTGGCTATTATTTTAGCATTTTATGTACAACTAATAATTGTCTAAGCATAGTTGGCTTGAACTTCAAATATTGTCTTTTTTTTTCGGTGGAGTAAGTTGGTAAAGGGATGATTAGTAGCTTGTTTGTGTTTTTTGCTTTTTTATTATCTGGTTGAATTTTTAGAGTAGAATCATAGGCTAGGATTTGACTAATATATAATTTGACTAACTTGAAGGTTTAGGAACTAATAAATTAAGAAGATAAATTTGTCGAGGGTAAAAAACTATCAGTAAACATACCAAAAACCATTGGTATCACGTTTACCGATGGTTGCCATCAATATTTGACCAACGGATAACCATTCGTCGAAAAAACAAGAAATACCGATGGAAAAGCCATCGGTAAAAAAAAATACCGATGACTTTACTGTCGAGTTTTTTTTAAATTCCGATGGAAAAAGCCATCGGAAAAAAAAAAAATTAAAACCCCCTACCCCTATACCCCTCTACCCCATACCCACCTTATCTATACTAATCCTAACTGCCTCCCACCTCCACCCTAAACCACCTGCCACCACCACCACCAACACCTATCACCATCGACCACCGTGAACCACCCACCAACACCTACCGCCACCAACCACCATGAACCACCCACCAACACCGGTTACCCTTGCCCAAACACCCACGCCACCAACTCCTCCTGACCCACTACCACCACCACCACCAACATAAACCCAGAAAAACAACCACTAACTCACTAAAACCAACCATTTCACCCCCAACCACCTACCACCACCAACAAAATCGAAAAAAAACCTAGAAATTCGAAATTAAAACCACAAAAACCAAAAAAAATAACCCAAAAATTCAAAATCCACCCACAAATCACAAATAAAAACTTACAAACAAAACACAAAAAAATCAACGAAATCAATGGTTGAAAATTAACAAAAATCGAGCCAATTAACCATAATAAAACCACAACAATCAATGAAATTAAAAATAAACCCACAAATTCAAAATTAACTCACAATACTAAACAAAAATCAACATACCTTTTGAAATTTCATCTTTGTTGGGTTTAAATGGTTAAACTCGACCATGAAAATTCCAGATCTGGAATTTGGAATTCTAGATCTGGAATTTTCATGGTTGAGTTTGACCAAAAAAACCATGAACTTTGAATTTTGAATGCTCATGGTGGTGGTGGTAGTAACACTAGTTCGTGACGACGTTTGTGGTGGTGGTGGTAAAAACTTCAAATAAACACGTTTGTGGTGGTGGTGGTTTTGATGAGGGAGAAGAAAGGAGAGAGAAGGAGAGAGGAGAGGAGAAACGTGAGAAGAGGAGAAGAGAGAGAAGGAGAGGAGTTAGAGGAGAGAGGAGAGAGAAGAGAGAAGGAGAGGAGGGAGAAAAAGAGTGGCGGAAAAGGAAGACAGAAAAATTATGGGTTACTAGGGTTTGAGAAACAAAAACCCAAATTTTTCTTTTTTTTTTTTTTAAAAAAAAAAAAAACCGATGGCTACAAACCATCGTAAAATACCGATGGAAAAAAACAAAATAAAATTTTAAGAAAAAAATAATTTACCGATGGAAGAAAGCTATCGGAAAAATTATATCGATGGCCTAACCATCGGTGATTCTCAAAATACCGATGAATTGAAAAAATCATCGGAAAATTATTTTTTACCGAGGGATTTTATTAGCCATCGGTATTTTCCATCGGTAAATGAACTTATTCTAGTAGTGAAATATGAGTGGAATGTTATCAACTATGCACGAAGTTTTTTTTACTAAAGTAATACGTTCAATTTCCAACCTTCTTTAAGGGCATACTCAACTCCATCCACAAAACTAAATATAGAGCTGCCAGAATTAAACCAAGCTATAATCACTTGATTTCTAAGAAAATGCTAACAATCAAGGAATGATTTACCTTCACTAATTACACCAATTTCAACGTATGAGTCACCTTGTTATTTATATATCAACACATAATAAGTAAAAATTCACAAAAGTAACATGACAAAACTATTTTATCATCAAAAATTAAGTGGGAGAATCGACATGTGACTGTTTTTTACAGCATCTAAAATAAATATCTTCACCCTCAAGTCTAAAACAAATTACAATTAGAGAAGTGATCAGAAAACCCGAGGATGGTGTAACCCAAAACCACCTTGATAGCTTCAGTTCAAGAAACTTGTGAATTGTTGCTTGTATATGATTACAGTGCTCGATATATCCTTTCACCATCACTGAAAAGGTGCCATTGAAGCAATAAGAAACCACAAAGTGATATTAAAAAAACACACAATTCGATAGGTTAGAAATCCGAAGCAATCTGAAAGGGAGTCAACATTCTTTCTCTTTGTTTTATGCGTGCGATCCAATTTGTAAAACGTGATGCAAGAAATAATTGTCAACGATTACGAAGGAGTTCTGATGTTATTTTCTTTGGACATATCGAAATTGTTATGAGTGTATAATTTTGATTTGTCCAACAGGGTAGTTTGCGGATGTTCGAATTTATATTAGGCATGAAAATCTATTACATTTGGACATAATAAGTGGACTTCCTTCAAAACCCTAAAATATCATACACAGTTACCTCTAAAAATTTGCTTACCTTTAAATAAGTTGCTAACATCTAAAAATTATATACAACTATCTCACCCCTAAATCAATTGTTCACCCCTAAATAGTTTAACCACCCTTAAAGAATTTCCTAACCCCTAAATAATTTCCTCACCTCTAAAAATCATATACAATTACCTCACTCCTAAATAATTTGTATACCCTTAAAAATCATATGCAAATAAACTCACCCCTAATATATTGTCCAAACATCTAGGAGATCCTGGGATCGATTCTCACCTCCGCCCTTGTGGCTCTCTAAATACCAAAAACACTATATTGTCCAACCCTATATAGTTTGCTCATTACTAAATAATTTGCCCAATCCTAAAAATCATATACAATAACTTCACCCTTAAAAATATTGTTCACTCTGCCCCTTAAAAATATTGCTCATTCTGCCCCTTCAAAATTTGTTCAGCTTTAAAAATCGTAATAAATAAATTACCTAACCACACAATAATTTGCTCACCCCTAAATAGTTTATTCACACCTAAAGAATTTGCTCATTCATATATATTTTGCTCACCCCTATATAATTTGCTCACCCCTAAAAGTCATATACAATTACCTCACTCTCAAGTAGTTTGTTCGCCTCTTAAAAAATTTCTCACCACTAGATAATTTGCTCACCCAAAAAAAAAAAAAAAAAAAAAAAAAATAAATATATATATATATATATATATATAATTAATTACCTCACTCCTAAATAAATTACTCACCCATAAATGAATTACTCTCCGATAAATAATTTGTTCACCCCTAAAAATCACAATAATTACATACCTCACCCTTAAATAAATTGCTCACTCCTAAAAAAATATATACAATTACTTCACTTCTAAATAAATTGCTCACCCTAAATAGATTGCTCTCCCATAAATAATTTGCTCACCCCTAAATATCACATATAGTTACATACCTTACCCTTTTCACTTTTAAATAAATTGCTCACCCCTAAATAGATTGCTCTCACATAAATAATTTGCTCACCCCTAAAAATCACATACAATTATATACCTCACTCTTAAATAAATTGCTCACCCCAAAATAAATTACTTACCCCAATAAAACATATACAATTACCTCACTCCTAAAAATATTATTCACCCCTAAAAATTTTGTTTCCCCCTCCCCCAAATATTTTGCTCACTCTTACAAATCATATAGAATTACCTCACCCCTAAATAAGATAGCTCACCCAAAAATAGTTTGTTTACCCATAAAAAATTTGTTCACCTCAAAATAATGTGCTCACTCCTAAAAAGTAAAATAGTTTGTTCACTCCTAAAGAATGAGCTCACCCTTAAAAATCATATACTTCCTCTGTTATTATTTACTTGCCTTTTAAAAAAGATTCACAAATATTACACCATTTTCATTTTAGGATGAAAAATGTCTTTGTTCACATTGCAAATACCCAACATGCCCATACTTTTTCACACTTTTTCTTTTTTATGTTACATCACATGAGCAATTTTGTATTTTTACCTTCTCTTTCTTCATTATTTTCCACTATCAAAATTATTGTGCCCAACGTACAACTTTCTTACCACTAAATACCCTTACCTTTAAATAAATTGTTCAGTCCTAAATAGTTATTTCACCCCTAAAAACTTGTACGCACCCTAAAAAATAATATACAAATTACGTTACCTTTAAAATAGTTTGCTCACCACACTTCTTACCAATAATACATATGACACGGAATTGAATGAACAAAGCTAATAATAGGTGATTAATAGGTTATTCCTTACTCAAAACTTATCTTCCATGAAAAAGATAATGCCTTTTGGATAAAAGGCCATACTCATTTCTATAGGAAAAATATTTTCATAATTTGTATTTTTATTATGTAGGTGGTAATTGTATTAGGTTGGATTGAATAACAATTGATATGGGTTGTTGAAAGTGGTGGGTATATAGTCTGTATATGTTACAGATTATATATACATCTCAGACTATATATACTATATTCATTTTGAAGGAAAATTGATTTTGGTACACTCTTAATTGATTTTGGCACACCCTATGTGAGAAGAGCAGAGAAAACTGTACTCTCACATTGAGGTGTGCCAAAATCAATTTTGATGTGCAAAAATCATTTCTCATTTTAAAAGGGTATGTGAAAATAGTTTTTTTATTCTAATTTTCATATCCAGCCTGTTGCAATAGCTAACACTTATCCATTTTTGTTTCAGAATTTTGACGGTATCTTGTGTTGTTCACTCCTACAAGCAACATCATATTTATTTAATCTTATGAAAAAACAACACTACTTAGGACTAGCAGGGCATCTTAGGGAATGTCAATCTTTATACTACAAGGCATAGTGTTTTCGTAATAGTAGTCAAAAATGAACTTATCATACCATGAAGCAGACTCAAATTGCGAGCTTAACATACTTCATGAAGCAAACTGAGTGCAATGGCTACATTACAACTAACACTAAATCATTTTGATAATGCCCTATTCAAAAAACGATCACGGTTCCGCAATATCAAAACTAGCGGTTACCAAAAAAAAAAAAAAAAAAAAAAAAAAACCCTACTAACTACATAAATCTCATCACCTAGCATTTACACTATGTACACTTCCTCAAGTTCTTCAAGTCCGTCCACATCAACATTCTCGTCATCACCCTCATACTGCATTCAAGCACACAGTCATTAATCGTCAAAATAAGTACAAAAGTTAACATTACAATAAATTTCAGTATAAGAAGCTCCAAACATTTGACATTGGTAGAAACAGAATTATACACAACCAGTGCTATATTTATTTATCAGATAAGGAAATCCAAGCATGCAATTACAAAAGCTCCAATTAGAAGTCCAAGACTCAAACTCAGAAAACTCATTAAACAAACCTGAATATAATTATTTTGTGATACAGTAGGAAGGGGAGGAAGTAGAAATGGCAAGCTATTCTCAACACATTTCGGAGTTCCTAGCATCTCAGGATTTTCTTCTGCTTCCATTAGCTCAATAAAATCAACTGCATGAGCAGCCATGCTGGTTGGTGGAACCATAAAATTTGACTCTTTCACCTGCTAATCATCAAAGGTAAGGGAGAAAATTAATGGTTATAAAAAGGGTGAAACTTCTCTAAACAAGTGCTAGTACCAAAAAAATCTTAATTCTATTATATACAGTACAAGCAGCCAAGCACTTTGCTTTGCACGATTTAAAACGATCCAACCACAATTGATCCATACCCAAATTTTATCAGACAAACTCAACTCAAGATACAGTACCTTGATGGAATTAACCCGATCCTGATAAAGTTTCCCCGATTGACAATAGACTTAAATAGAAATTGAACTAAAACAATTATAACCACTAAAACAAAATTGTATGACCTTAACTTATTTAACCTACATTAACATCAACTCATTAAGAAAATACATGAAAGTTTCATTATGTTGAAGTTATCTCGATTATGCAATTCTCCGGGCTCTGATTTTGGCAATATGAATTTGTTCTCTTCACCTTATTTAAGGTATTCTGATCTGGAACTTTTAATTTTGTTATTGTCTGATTTGGTTTGGTTGGCCAGATTTTTATTTATGGCCTAAATCATTATATCTATAATATTAACTCTTTGGTTTGATCTTGTCTAGTCTGAATCTTTTCTAACCTAGCCTAATCTGATCTATTTTTTACAAGAATTAGAAAAATTTATAAGAATAAGGTGAAGAGAACAAAGCCTAAGTGTCCGCATGCAAAAAAGCTGTGTGCAACCTTCTATTGCTCATTCCACAAAAAGGCTATAGTAGCAGGGAAAATGTCACACACACAGGATTTTTGAAGCACTTACAGTCAACAAAAATGAAAAAAACTGGATTTTTTTTCTACAGCTAAAATCTCATTGATTAGACTACTTTGGAGGTTTTGAACATGCCATAGTACTAAAATAAATTAATTAATGAAATTAAAGAAAGGTAGATCCGAACAAGTCTCTATGAAAAAACAGAATATCTCTTTCCACAAAAGTCAAAAGCATGGGAAAGAAAAATGTTTCTTATAAGCCAAAAGGATGAAAAAACAGGGGAATAAAGGGAAAAAGGATTACCTTATCATAAGGATCAAAGTGCTTAGAAGCAATATTTTGCAGCTGGGGGTTCTCTTCAGATAGTCCTGCCTCAGCTTCTTGATGACCACCAAAGGACACAAGTGGATTTCTCCGAGAACCCAAAACTCTGGCTCCATGTCCTCTTGCCGTAGTTGCTGTATTTGTAATATATAAGCACATTTGATAATATGTTAGCATGATAAAGCTTAATTTTGTGTGGCTTCCATAGTGCATACCCCCCAGTAGCCAACGTATTGCTTGTAAAAAAGTTGAAGCCATAAGGAAAAATAATTTAGATATATCAGAAATTAATACAGGGGCATATTAATTAGTGAAAATTAAGCAATGGTCATATTTTGATACAATCAAAGTATTATTATTTGTTAAAAACAATTGTAAGTAAGCAAGTAAATGACATACGATTTTCAAATCCTATTTGATCATAATGTACTCCCTCGGTTTCAAAATAAAAAGCAATTTAATAGGTAATCTTTTGAACCAATACATAACGAAATATCACTTTAAAGTTTAAACATCAATTTAAGATTGTGGGTTATTTTATACCATAATAGACAAGTGTCCAATTACATTACCAGTGTACCTTTAACTTAAGTAGACTAAATTTTAACAAGTGTTGACATGGTTCATATTAGAAATGACAATTACATTTGAATTGAACTCAAGTCCAACTTAATCCAAAGGAGAAAAATCTGATCTGAATCCACTAGAGGGAAGTTTGAGTCCAAATCCGACAAAAACTATTAGTTCGAATAAGAGGTAGGTCAGACTAAGATCTTATATAGGGTCCGACCTTCCCAAAAGCGGAAGTCAGATAAATAGACACAAAAAATCCAAAAAGCTAATTAATCCAATTGCGCACTTCTTCTCAACAAGCAACCTGTCCACCTCTCCTCTCTATAATCTAGGTATTTCTTCCTCGGGCTCTTTCCTCTCTAAACCTCTTGCCTTTAATATTTACTTATTTGTATGTTGATATACTAAAGCAATTTTACATCCCGTATCCTCTTGCATCTAAATGAAAATTGAAGACAACTACACCATATGGCAACGGACCCTTTGATGAACCATTCTATACTCCCTGCGTGTTTTAATAAGTTTTACACTTATCAAATACAGCCGTGTTTTAATAAGTGTTACACTTTCTTTTTTGGTAAAAAGCTACATTTTAATATTATATCTTTCTCTTTTCATGGTCCTCACCCAAACCCACTACTACTTTTTTTTATTATTTATTTGCTCTCACATTCATTACTTTTCAATAAACTATTACCCCCACTATCTTTTTTTACAATTTTTTAATACTCCAACTACCCCACTTACCTCTTATTTATCTAAGTCAATTAAATTGCTTAAAACTATGTGCCGGTCAAAGTGTTAACACTTATTAAAACACGGAGGAAGTACATGAGATGGCTTAAACAGCAAATTTTTTTCCTTAGAAACCCAAACAAGAACTTTCTACGTTCTCTTCACTTAAAATAAATTAATCTATTGAGAATTTCTTATGTCTAGACTGGTTTGGTTTAATTTTTCAAGTTTGCTCTAGTCTAACAACCGTACTTGTACGTTACTTCCTTTGTTTTTCTTTTAATTTTATGACATGTGTTGATTTTTTGCACTATTTACACATTCTCCTTTGACGATATATTGTAATGTACACACAAGGAAAAATAAAGTCATGTGGGATCTTGTTAGATTTATCTCCAGATATATATTAACTTTTTATCAATTTTACTAAACGATAATTTATGATATTAATGGTTGACATTATGCATTTACAAACGTGAAAAATAAAAGGAAACATGTCAACTAATAAAAACAGAGAAACTCGTATATAAGAACATTATCAAATAAGGTCCTGTTAAGTTTCCCCCCTTTGGCTGCCACCACCATTAAAGATTTCTAGTTAACATACTCGTATAAGACTTACATGCAAGGGAAAAAAGGGTATCCAAGTGCTCAATGAGCCAGTCAGCCACCAAAGACCCTTTGTAACCAATGCCTAGCTTCTCCTGCCCTCCCTTCCACCCTTTCCCCACATACGCCTTGCACTCATTCAGCCAACAGGAAAGGGGGTCAATGATTTCAAACAATAGCACGGTGCGGAGGTTCATTGGCTAAATGGATTATTCAGTAACTAGGGGCTGGTGCTGCCCCCCCCCCCCACCCCTCTCCCCTCCCCTTCCTCTCAAGTCATGGTAAAGGTCCACTGATCACGGAGACCATATCTGGGGCTGGTAGCATGAAGATGGAACAGCAATGGAAGGAGCAAGGTTCATGTTGCAACTGCCAAATTTCTCTCGTTTATAAAATATACGGTCAACTTTGCTAATGGAAAGATCTTTGATAAAGCACTCACAGAAGGATATATTACAACATTGTCCCAAATTTCAAAAACTCAAGTAACACAGGGACAAAATAAATTGCATACTGTAAAAGATCTGTCAAGGGTACAGAGCTACCACATAGAATTTCCAAAAAACCAATAGGATGTCAATCCAAAACTACTCACACACAATTCATACAAGCCACATTTCAAACTCAACATTTAAGAATATCGCAACTTGGAAACAGCCATGTACTTTTTATTCTTTTCTTATTATGTTCTACCCACTTCTACTTTTCTATATTTTAGCAAACAATTTATAACATCTTAACCCCCACAATGTCATCCATCTACTATTTCTCTTACATCATCTATTAAGTATTTGATCTCAAAGGAAGCACAGACAACTACTGAAAGGATGTAAACTACCTGAATTTCCCCCTTGTGAGGCTTCCATGCTATCGTGTACCTGCTTCTTTGCAGGAGAAGCAGAGTCTTTTAATTCTAGAAATTCTTCATTACTAATAACGTTAACATCCAGATTTTCACTAACACTAACAATCGGTATAGCATCTGTACCAAGCTCCCCAACTAGCTGCTCAAGTTGAATCTGAGACCTACAAGTTAAGACGTCCATAAGAGCAATAAACCTAAAAAATAGCAAGACCTTGTAACACCCAAAAAAAAAAAAAAAAAAAAAAAAAACAAGCAACAATAACAACCACACAACAACTATCACCACTAGCAAAATCTAGAAGAACAAAGTGTACAAAACTACAAACCGTTGCATCAAACAAGCATTGAGGCTATTTTCCAAACAGCAATGAGAGGAAAAATAAAACTAAAAATATCTTGATATATACGTACAGATACTAAAAGTGGGTACTTAGTTTTTGCCGTTTTAGGTAGTATTTTATATTAGCTTTATCACTTTTTTTTGCCCTATTCTAGCATTTATTTAGTCTGATTTTTCCTTTTTAGTATCTTCATAGATTTGTAGGATTTTCCTTGTTGGTGTTGTTTCAATTGTCCTTGCATTTGTTCCATATTTGCAAGCTTATTAATGATCAAAAAGATGGTGGATTAGCAAACTGGCTATAAGGGAGAGCACCTCGCGTGCACCTCTTTGAATAAAATAAAAATAAATAAATTAAAATTTTTTAAAAAATAAATATGAGAAGTATTTATCTATAGATTTTCCTATTATTCTTCCTAATTATGCGCACAAGGCCACAACCATGTCAATAATTTTTATCTTGCCCACTTCTCTCTCTCATCTAAATCTTGTGGTGCATGACGAAATTTTGATACCATGGCCGAAAATAATCAAATAGTTTGAATTAATAATCCAACAATAATATAAGGGGTAAATTATTTTGTTTGTCAATTATATATGAATACGTTTTCGTTGTTTAGAGGCCCCTTTTTAGCTTTCGCTCTGCCCCCAGTAATGTCCAAGACGGCACTGTGGATTAGTCCATTATTTGACTAAAAAAATATTCATTTTGGAATAATAACTAGACAGCATTGGCGTGGCCTCTCCAACAGGCATTGAAACATTCTACCATGTAGCTGAAATAAGCAGGCGTGGGCTCTCAATATTCTGAATTGCTGCTGTTCACCAGAGGCATGGCCTCACCACCTGTTAGGAGCGGTCTCAACTCAATCGAGGTGTGGCCTTTTCCACATTCTGCAGAGTTCCACACCCTCCCCTTTAGTCTAGGAGATCTTTATAGGAGCAACCTCTCCGCATTTGGAGCAGCCTCACCTATTCTCTGCTGAAGATGCTACCCAAATGTATGGCGCGGAGGCACCTTTGTTCTCCTGCGATTATTTTGACTAAGCCTCCTAAATAATTTGGGGAGATAGGCGTCATTTCCTTCCTTCTTAGCCTTTAATCTTCTATTATATATAAAGAGTGCTAACATAGTCCTTGAACGGGCTTTCCTTCTTCTGGAAGAGGTAATGGCCCCCTTTGGCTCATTGTGTAGGGGCAGTTAGTTTTTATAGGTTAGTAGTTCCTAGTAATATTTCTTTTCTCAATCTTTCTTTCTCCCTCTCAGCTAATTGTTAGTTGCTCGTTCACTTTGTTGTCTTTATTAGTTCCTTACTATTTCAATTTATTAAAAAATTATATCTATCCTTATATTTGCTCATGATTTGCTTAAACTTGTTGATTGTGGCAATTTCCATTGAATGTGAGCTATTAAATATTAATGGGTAAAACTGTAAAACCTTCAACACAAACACTTAATTGCAAGTGGGTATTTAGCTCATGGGGTTGCTAATTAGTTAAGCTTAAGGTATTTTTATTATTAGTTCTTATGATTAATCACCATTTGAATTTGATTCTAAGTCTCCCCAACCAAGGATCGAAAGGTGAAATTGAGTAGTAGGCTCCCTTATGGTTATTTAATTAAACAAATTGAGAACTTTCTAGTCAAAGGGAATGTTATTATCAACGTGATTAAGTTTCATTGCGTGGAATCATGCTTTGTGACCATGAATATAAGTTGTAATTCATAATTAAGGCTTCCAACTAGCTTGATAGAGTAGTTAGGGTGATTTAGATGATTGTCCCCAATCTATCCCCTAAAGTCCTATTTCCCTCATGTTTAATTGCAATTTCACGATCATATTGAATGGTGCAGCCCTTACCTTAAACCTAGTTATAATTCCCATTTTTAATCTTAATTTGCTTAGATTAATAGTTGAGTAGTTCGTATAAAATCTCCTTTTAACACACAGCTTAACTAAGCTTATTAGAACAATAGCGTTTGTCAGTTGATTCAACATTTCTCATAGATTCAACCCATTCTTTACCTTATTGCTAATTAGTTAGACCTAGTTAGGTTATTCTTTGGTAGGTTGGTGATGCTGTATCAAATACCCACATGTATACACATAATATTACACAAAAGCACATTGCAATATAAACTTGCCTCTTCAGTTCATCTTGCATCCGAGAGTGATGAACATGTGCCCTAATGAGCTTCTTAATTTTTGAATTAACTCTGAAAAAATCATCACCAAACAGACAAGAGTAATGCTCATTATTATAAATCAACCATTCAGAAGCAGAACAGGAATTTAAATTAGGATTAAAAATATTCAGATCAAAGAGTTACCTTTTAGATTTTTCCTTTTCATCACACAATTGAGCCTCGAGATCCCTAATCCTAGAAGACAAATTATCTGCTTCTTGTACCCTCTCCTGGAATGCAATCTGCAAGCAAAGGATTAATGCTTAACATCTATTCAGATTGCATGAATTAATCATGGCACTAAAATTAAATAACAGTAGTAGTAGACCAACAAGATTTATAATCGTAGAAGAGAAGCTGTTTGCTTCTCTCACCCAGCTCTCCCAAAAGCTCAGAAACAGATTTTTCCTTTAACGATGATGGGGGTATCCTGCTGCTTCTCAATGTAGTAGGGCAATTGAATTTCTAAGAGCTTATTTTCAAAGAAAGATGCTCGAAATTTAGGCACCTCTCCAAGTAAGATTCTTTACAGGCACCTCTCTGAGGAACAAAGTAAATAGCAATTGCAGTTCTTAGTACCATATGAAGTGAACACAAACCCAGTGAGACCTTTTTTTCTAACATAACATAGAGATTTACTTATATCACGGACTGCTAAATTACAAGTTCAAGCCAAGAGCTTGTTATAATACAATTACAACCATTCGAAACCAAGCATTCAAGTGAAGTGAACCATGTGATGGTCCAAATACCAGCAAGCCAAATGGCAAAAGCAGTAGTAAGCAAACAACACAAACTCCAAGGCTAGATCTAAAGCTGAATGGAGATATAATTTCAAAACAGAAAAAACAACATAGGAGAAAATACAAAGTAGATTTAGTAACTGGCAGCCATGTAGCAGCAGAATAGATTGGTTTTGTAAACTTGCAAGATAAGCAATGGCTACATCGAAGTGAGTCACAAAGCCTAGCACCATTTCTAGGGAGTAAATAGCGACTTAATGAACCGTGTGTTTATTCTATTGGAATTTGACTTATATTAGTTGCCTAATCCAATTAAACCAAACATGAATTAGCACTCAAAAGTTGAAAATAAAATCCGAAAATTAACATGCTATCAACAAACACGAGCAATTATCCCACAAAATCACAAACCATGAATCACAAACTTAAATCAAAAAATGAAAAAATTATTGAATCTTACACTAAAAAGAGGCCCATCCTATATGTCATTAAAAGCAGTGGCAGCTTTCCAAGAATGAAACCCTTTATATGAAGAATTTTTTAATCCAGACACTTGTTTATGACATTCAATATAGGACTTGTAGTTTCAAGATTTGTACCCTTCCAAACAACATAGTATGACTACCCTAGAAATTAATTCTAGAAATGCTCAATAGTTTCAGTGAATTACAATCAATTAACTCAACAAATTCTAAAAAACTTACCCTTTTTAGGTGTATACTCATAGAGCAATATACCCAAACATGACAAAATCTATAAAAGTAGGATTAACACTTGTTAAATGACAGCATTATCAAGATACAAATAAATTCTACAACTAAAATCAAATATGTCAACAATATCAATTACAAAAATCAAATATGTCAAGAATATAAAGTAAAATTATTAAAATTTGTGACTACATTCTTCAATTATTTCCATATGAAATGAAAAAAAAAAAAAAAAAAATCGATCATAAATCTCTAAAAAGTTGCAAAAACATGAATTGAAAATAATTTTACAGATAATTTAGGTAATTAATCTGTGAAATAACTTTCATTTCATATTTTTGCATATAATTATAAGATTTATGCACAATTTTTTCCCCATTATATATGGAAATATACAAATAATGAAATCTACGGTCACAAATTTTATAATTTTAATTGACACTTTTTACAAATATTTGATTTTTTTATTGATATTATTAAAATATTTGATATTATTTGTAGAATTTCGTTCTATCTTGATAATGTTGTCATTTGATGCGTTATAACCTATTTTTAGAGATTTTTTATCATGTCTAGACAAATGGTGCAATCATACGCCTCAAAAGGACATAACACTCTAAAAAGGGCAAGTTTTATGGAATTTATTGAGTTTATTAATTGGAATGCATTAAAACTAGTGAGCATTTCCAGAATTAATTTCTAGGGTTTACTTCCAATAAGTCAATTATACTATGTTGTTTGGAAAGGTAGAAATCCTGGAATCTACATGTTTTAGAATGAATGTCATTAACAAGTGTCGGGATTTAAAAACTCTTAATTTCAAGAGTTGCGTATATTTGATGCTGCCAATGCTATTTTGAATGACATAGAGGACATGCCTCTTTCTAATCAATGTAAGATAAATTTTAATTTTTTTATTTTGATTGTGATTTTGTGAAATAATTGCTTGTGTCTGTTGATAGCATGTTAATTTCCGAATTTTATTTTCAACTTTTGAGTGCTACTTCGTGTTTGATTTAATTGGATTGGACGGATAAGATAAGTCGTATTTCGATAGAAAAAAAAAAATGGTTCACTTGGTTGCTATATATTCCCTAGAAATGGTGCTAGGCTTTGTCACACTTCGACCACCTATCATTACAAGTAATCATTGCCTATCTTGCAAGTTCACAAAAACTAATCTATTCACTACATGGCTGCTGTGTCCTATGTTGTTCTTTTGTTTTGAAGTTGCATCTCCATTTAACTTTTAATCTAGCCTCGTAGTTTGTTGTTTGGTTACTATTAGCTTTGTTATTTGGCTTGCTCATTTTTGGACCACCGCATGCTTCAATTCACTTGCATGATTTCTAATGGATTGGGCGAATTATATTGTGGAACACACAGGGACTTGAAATTGCAATTCTTAACAATCCTCTCCCAAACTAAATGACTAAGACTACCACCTTCCCCTTTACCCCAAGGCCACTACCACCATACCCAAGTCCTTGATTTTCAATAATGATTAAACTTATTGTTTACAACCTTTACATAAATTAATAACATATGCGATCCTCACAAGAGCACACGCTATTGCAATATTCAGACTAAAGATATAACAAACCCAGCAATGAGTTAAGGAAACTTCAGCAAATATTTACCAAATTAGGTAAATAGAGATAAAACTAACCTCCATCTGACTTTTTTGGTTAAATAGCACATCAACTTCATACTCAAGTTGTGTAAGCTGCAAGACATACGAGACCATGCCATATGAGTACAATACTCATTTTGGAAAATGAAATGCATGAGCAACAAGAAAGAACCCTTTATACCTCATCCTCAACCACGTTTCTGGAATTAGATAAAATATGAAGTTTGTCCTTCTCGCTTTCTGCTGACCCATTTTGACATTTGAAACCCCCAGAATATTTATTTCGACCATCCTCATGCTCATGTGTCCTTAATTTTCTATCATTATAAAATCAAAATATTAAATAAGCTTAATTGACCATCACGTAAATACTTGAAAACTGATATGAGATATCGACATCACTATTTTATTAATCTGAAAGACAAAATGCAATAAAATAAGGAAAAAAATACAAGGTCTTTGAACAATACGCGATTGTCAAACAGTTTAATTAAAAAAACAAAGAATTAGTAATTAGGACTGTAAGCCTGCAATGCACAACAAAATCTCTTACTAATTTACTAGGACTACAGCTAGTTGTTGAACAACTGCAAAATTTGGGCAGAGATAAGCTAGTCTTATACAAAGCAGCAGCAGAATGGCATAGGCCCAGAACCTCAGAAACTGACAACTCTCCATGTACCATGTCAAACAACAACCCAGCTAGTAATTTTAAGGTAAATGACGGAGAATCCAAGTCAACTGTGACATGAGACTAATGAATATAGTTTCCAATTCTTGGATTGGAGTCGAATGACAATCGTTAGATTTTGCTTCTGAATATCTACACAGCTCAAAAACTACAATTTATTCCATTCATGAGATTTAAGACTAAATAAGAAGAAGCTGCAGATCAAGAATAAAACATTCTATAGAATCGATACTCCCTTTCCAGAAAAGAAACATGATAATGTAGTCATATGAGTTAAAGTTTAGGAAACATTCACAAAACGCTAAGGTCATGCGATTTATTGCATAGATCAATAGATTAGTTTACCATTTACTCGGACTCTTCATTTTACCTCAAGTACCCGTGTCAGACATGGGTATGACACTTGGACACTTCATTTTAGTTCAAAATCATATATTTTTTCTACAAAATAGCTGAGTTGGGCACTTGAACACGTGAGTCGGACACTTGGACACGTACCCGTGTCGGACATGGGTACCCAAATCGAGTAACAACAAATTTTTCAAAAAAAAATAAAAGTAAAAATAAAAATAAAAGAAAAGGATAACTCTAAAAGGTTTAACAAGCACAAAAGTAAAGACTTAATGTTGTGCAAGTACTCTTCGCTGATCCTCCTAAGTATACCTTGCCTATAAGTTCATTTGTTATTCTTATTTTTAATTCCTCATTTCCTCTTATAACTTATAATTTCTTTCCAAAAATTTGAACTTACTCTTCAAAATAAAAAATTGCAATGACACCCAATAGTAGACGTCAGTCGACACTTTAGCTATATGTGGGGGGGGGGGGTTAGCTGGCCATGATTGAACCCAAAATGGGCCGATTTTAGGCCTTAATGAGGCTTTTTTTTTTCTCTTTTCTCGGAGGATTTTCGCCGCATAACACCAAAAACCTAAAGAAGTCTTCACCCACTCAAACTAAAGAGGGTAGCAAAAAATTTGAGAAGTTTGGTTCATTAAATTAGCAATTTAGGATTAGAAATTGAGGAAAAATGTAGATATAGGTTTGCATAATTTACAAAAAGAACCTTTGAAAGATATGAAAAGAATTAGGAATAGGAGTACTTGACTGTGGAGGATTGATTCGAATTATTTGTAAGTTTGAGGTGGACGAAAAAATGTAGGAAAAGAAAAAGGGAACCCATAATAGACCAATCCTAGGCCTTACCGAGCCATTTTTTTCTTAGAGGATTTATGCTGCATTACACTAAAAACCTAAAGAAGTTTTCACCCACCCACTCAGACTAAAGTGGGTAGAAAAATATTTGTGAAGTTTGGTTCATTAATATAGCAATTTAGGATTTGAAAAAAATTCATGTTCCCCATCAATGGATAGCAGGGTTGATTAAACAATAAAAACTATTTCACATACATTATTGTATGTAATTTATCTTGATTCCTAGGTCATTAAGGAAAATTGTAAATATGTTTGCATAAAATACGAAAATAACCTTATGATGATATGAAAAGAATTGGAAATGGGAACACTTGAGTGTAGAGGGGATATGAGAGGAATAGGTGTGGCATTATAGAGTTTGGGATGGACAAAATGTAGGATAAGAAGAAGGGATTAATTGTGCCAATTTAATATAATCATTAAACATTCATCTCATCAATCAAAGTCATCCATGACTGCATATTGAGTGTCAAGCTGTTAGGGAAAAAAAAAAGTTAAAATTGCTAATCCATTTAATCAAGAAATGACTAAACAACCACAGCTGCTTCCTCCACAAAACTCCTTGATAGTTGCAATTCTTATTAAGTTGTTGAACATGTTAGCCTATATCTGGTAGCATGATTATTGAACAATGAGAAAATGAGCCATTTCAATTTGTTTATAGGAATGGATGAAGCAAAGAACATTTTCATATGTTAAAACAATGATATAATGTTGCTTTAACAATCACCTAAGCAAGTCAACGCTTGCCATTCTAATAAGATTGCTGACTCATATCAGAGGTACTGCACCAGAAAATAAAGAGGGGGAAGGGGGCAAAAAAAAAAGTAGCCCATTTGTGTATGCAAGCAAGACTATGAGGCAAAACAGAGGGTGAAAAAAAATAAAAGCAAACTAAACGCGTATGCATCAGTTCTCTGACCCACCAAAAGGTTGCACATATATTGACCATCACAGAGCCACAAATGGTGAGATCCACATTGTGTGGTGTTTTGTTGTAGCGATAATACTCCCAGAGGCAATATGCAATAAATAAACACAATATAAGAGACTTCAAATATTCTCAGGATAACCATATCTCAGGGCTTGCATATCAGACAAGAAAAGGAGTGATAATGTGCCTTGAAGTTTTCATAACTTGTGAGCTTCAAAAGATTTTTATACACCAGCTTTTCAAACTTAGAGATATTCCCCAATTCTAAAGCAAATGCATACTATTGGGTATAGACCATATTAACATAATAAAATCATTACCTAAATAAAGGTGTTAGGCATGTAATAGGCACCCCGCACCCAAACCAGATAAGGGGCAAAGAATTCTTGAAAATTACCTTCTTTTACTCGGTTGTGATGGACTAAACCCTGCAAAAGATTTGACATTGGAAAAATAAACGTATAAGTAAACAGAAAGGATGGCATTCCCATTAATATTAAGCACCGTGATAAACCATTAAAAAAATATTAATTGATATATGTGTAAACCAAATATATCAATATTGAAGATACTGAACAAAGTCATACTTACTTTTATACGCTCGTGATCCGTTTGCATCTCTTCTAGGGGAAGACTTATGAAGTGGAGAACGCTTCCTGTCAAGCTTACTCCTTAAGTCATTATCTCTGTTGATTGGCCTATCTGGAATTGCAAAAGTAGAACTCTCAGAGTGCAGAACAGAAGATTTTGCCAATTTGATCTCCCTTTTGAATATGAGTGTTATGAACTGTTGCAAAGCTAACCTTACTCTCCCACAATGATAAGTAACACAATAATAAACAGATATATTGTGTCCTTGCATTGCCAATAGTGTTACAGATATATCACCAGCATAAAATATATACATACAATAATCCTGAGTTTGTGCATACAGCCTTAAATGAAGCAAACATGTAATGCATCAAGGATGTAATATAAAGGACAGATGGATGCCCATATCTGGAGAAGAAGCTTAATAATCAGCGGAGCTCAGTCCAGCTTTAGGAAGACAATAACAATAAAGATATCAAGCAACTTCACAAGTCTTGCTCCTTTTTAGAAATAAATAAATAACCTTTAGGAGCTCAGTCCAGCTCACTACAAAGTCAACGCCGCTGGAATAATTACCATCAACTTCCATGACAATAAATGACATACTAATAAGAGAAGCATTCTGCAAAATTTCTGTTTGAAGATAAAATACATATACTGGCCCGTCAAACATCACTCAGTTAAGATTCATGACCAGGGACGGGTAAAACCCAAAACTATCCAGAAATCAAATACACATTCAGCCTTAGAAATGTAAAACCCAAAAATAGTTGAGAGTAATGAACCGACTTAAGGGGAGCGGCATTATAGGTAACGCATAATAAGATTGGTTAGGATTAGCTTGGAGTCTTGGGGAGAATGCTAGCAGTAAAATTAAACTATAAATAAGTGATGATTAGAGATAGATGGTGAGGCTGAACATTGTTAAAGAGTGGAAACACCTTAGGGAGAGAACAAGCCTCAAGAAAGCTTGTACTATCTTTCATATTTTCGTAGTATAATGCAAATTCTATCTTCCTTTGCATTGCTGCTCAAATTTCCAGTTCATAAGCTTTAATAGTCAATATCATCATTTTCATCTCTTTAGAATCATCTATACATGCCAATTCATTTCATTGAACCTAAAACCATTAGCTGAAGCAACTGATTTTACCAACAGCAGTTCCTGCTACTGTAATATGGCAAACCTTAAGAAAGCAAATTTAAGATTACTTCCATAACCAGACTCGATTAAATCAGGGCCCTTTGGATATGCTGAATATCCTGTGTCAACTATACTGATGCAGCAGATTATAAAAGGAAAGTATTCATAATATTAGATTCAATTCATTCGAAGCCAAGAGTGATACAAGCAATTCGCTAATATAATACTCCCTCCATCCCAAGATAAGTGCCAACTTTTTAGTAAGACAAAAATTTAAACTTTGGCCATAAATTATCATCATATATAAGAAAAACCATGGATACATAATTTTATTTTATTTTACGCAAATATATTAGATCTTGTTAGATTCATTACAGTGTAATTTGTTAAGATATCAAGTTCATATAATTTTTTCAATACGCATTTATTGATGTCTATGCTCAAAGTTGTATCTTGTAGTAAAGACATGTGGTAATTAATATGGGTTGGAAGTTGCATCTGACAAAGGATCCACAAGAGGAGTCACTAGCAAGAGCCCAAAAATCGTGTCTCCGCGTAATACAGTTCACTACACAGAACTTAAAAAAAAAAAAAAAAAAAAAAATGATATCACAAAAAAAGTTGGACCAGCATTAAGCTATTGAGAGTAATTTCCATTACAATGATATGGATGCGAGTGCACAACAAACAGAAACCCAAGTTCCGCAATCAACTCCCTTCATTTCCCCACCATATCCTTGCATAAAAACTGAAGTTGGAAAACAAAATATTGAAGCTGATATAGGTCCTCGAGTTCCTAATTATTTGGATTATAATTCAATAAAATCAAGTGCTTAGCATATTGAAGGCTTGACCTTTATTTCTTATAGTAAGTAGCCTATTCGGATCAAGGCCTCATAACAATTATAGGGTCAAGGCTATGAAACCTAATGGAAACTTTTCAACAACGGCTATGTAAATTTACCTACACTAATTCCACCTTATGCACTACCCACAACTAAGCATCAACACAAGGGGAGGGTACTTTAGGGAATAGAAATAAAATGAATTTGTTAGTAGCTTGAAGAATAAATTAGGCAATTTGTTCGAGGAAATGTTCTATATATTGAGTATATTAGAGAGAATTCTGGTGAATATTGATGAGAGTAATCTTACAATTTTATTTTGTATTTTAGGAGAGTGCAAGAATCTTGAATGCTTGTGATTATCTGATACTCACTGATATTTCCAGTTTATCAATCATAATCATACGAGCCATATCCGCCCTATACTCATCCATATATTAAGTAAAATACAGTCATAAATATATTAATAGACTAATAGTGCAATAAAGGTAAACAATTGTCTAATATTAATTGACTATTTTTATTAATTTATTATAGTATATGTATATAGTACTATCGTTTTATTATAGTATGTAGTAAGGTTGCTTTATGCAGGCAAGTCTGAGGTAGGGATTAGGTGGATGTGGGGAGGGGATTAGGTGGGTGATGGGGCGGGGAAGGTGGGGATTTAAGTGAGTATGGATATCAAAGTAGGGGTGGGCAGGAATGGTTTTAGATTTGTACCCGCAAGGGCGGGGATGGGTATGGAATTTGGACCTGCCACGAGGATCGAGATGAGAATGTTAGGCGGGGATGGAGATGGGAAAGATAACATCCACCCCACCTATCCCATTGAGATCCCTATGTCCATCTATGCATATCACCCACATTACAAAGCATACGAGTAGCCTGCGAGTCTTCAGCATAGAATTAAACAAAATCAGTGAGCGTCTATGTCATATAACAGCTTTTACCTAAATGGACATATTCATATTCTTCATATTAAGTAAACTAGTTACCAACAACAAAAGTTCTTAAATATAGGTACTATTGCTGCCTTTGCTGGCTAAGCAATTGCCTGCTGAATTCACACTGTTAAAAAATCATGTAAATCAAGCAGAAACCATCATAAATACACCAAACCCTAAACAATGCTAAGCCAATAATTTCATAATCAGTAGCGAAATCACACGAATACACACAAAAACCAAAATTAAAATCAACCACCACATAGCACAAAAATCACCAAATAACCCAAATAAAATGAATACAGCATCAGTCACAATGAATTTATCCATAAAAGAACCTGAAAAGCGTCGAAGGTCAGAATCACCATGAGCAAATGTACATGTATCACGTCCACAACGACCCTTCTCATAAAGTACACATAATTTTGTCTTGAAAGGCCTCGTCTCCACCATAATTAAGCAAAATCTGCTTCCCTATTTACGTAATCCGAAAAATCTCCCGAACGAATCACAAATTCACTATACAATGACAAAATTACATTGAAATTGAAGAAAATGTGATTTCTTTGCGATTGCAAGCAAAAAAAAATACCTGCAATTCGTAAAAAAAAAATATACAAATTTACACAAATAGAAATAAAAATTCAAATTCTGCAAATCAGGTAATCCAGAAAATAATAATTCGATTACCATCAAAATCCCCAGCATTAAGTAACTACTGATAAACCATTGACAACGAAATTATACACTATACATGCTAATGCTTGTCTTAGATTACGCAACATAAGAATAATCAAATAAAATGCAGAACTTGTTGCCAAAAAATTAAGGTTTATAATAATGTCGAGAAATCAGGGATAAAATTCAAATATGAGTAATTTACAATAGATTACCTGAGAATTGTTAGCGAAGAGTCCAGAGGTTGAAAAATGGAGGAGAGTGGAACGAGGAAGAAATAAGAGCACTTAAGAACCTTTGCTGAAGAAAAAGGAAAATTACGGAAAAATTACCCAAGGAAGCTTAATTGAGAAACAATACTCTAGTACATGCGTGGCAAAACTATTTACCAAACTAAGTTTTCAGGATAAAACGTCATTCAGTGTAGCGTTTTACCCCCTAACTGAAATGGGTTAAAAAAATTCTACCTAGGATAAAAACGTCAACCTGGTTGGCGTTTTTACCTTCAACATAAAACGCCAACCTACGCCAACCAGGTTGGCGTTTTACCTGCAAGATATTACAGGCAACAACCTGCTCCTGAAACCTGCAGGCTTCTTGCCAACCTGAGGCCACTCCCACCACCAGTTTAACTACTGCCAACCACCACTTCCATCGCTACCAACCACCACTTCCAAGAGTCAGTGATCGCTGGGCGGAACTTCATTCACGCAGTTTTCACGATGTGGGCCCTTGTAAGATACGATCTTAAGGCATGTGTGTTCAGATTTGTTTTTGTACCACGTAGCAACCAACCACACTTCCTCTTGCATTTAAGATGAAGGACATTCTCATTCGATGTCACCGTGGAGTAGAACTAATTCCGTTCTATGGAATACAGTTTCACCGTTTCCCGGAGCACTTTCTTACTGTCCAAAATCATGCCCTTATAAAATTCTCTCCGAACAACAAACGAAGTCTGGCACCCCGAATCAGCCCAATACATGTCCACCTCATAGTTCTCGTTTATTTGAGTGAACCAAGGCAATGGAGTTCTAGCCATAGCATCATCAACAGACAATTCGTTGTTTATTACATCTTCCTCATCTCCGCCCTCACCCTCGTCGTTTGTATCTTCATACATATCAAGAACAGACAATTCGTTGTTTACAACAGTTTCAGCAGTCACCAAAGTTTGAGATGGTGTTGCTTGAACATCTTGCGAAGGAGAGTAACTGTGTAACTGCATCGGTGATGAAATATCAATTTGAGATGGATCAGGTTGCTGAAACATTGACACCGACGCCCCTTCATGTACAGGTGCAGTAAAATGTGAACTGAATGGAATGTCAAATTGATCGTCGTGTAACATTCTACTGAAAGATCTCATTCCATATTCAAATGACGGAACGTTGTATGAGGGCATTTGTAACGAGCTTGTATTGTATGAGGGAAGATATGTAGGTTGTTGCTCTGTCAATCGAATAGTCTATTGAGTACATATAAGCACCATTTCCACATACAAATCAGTGGGAAGAGACCTCATTACAATGACACCCCTCAAAACCTCCAAATGGTCATCATTCAAAACAGGTAAGATTTGAATCCCACTGACACTCTCAAACCTCATTTTAATGTTCAGTTCAACATTCGTTGGGTTTGAACCAGTTATAAGCCTTCTTCAACAAATCATTGTAAATCATACAAGGTTTCAATACCAATGGTTCCATTTTTCCTCCTCTATACTCGACGTTCGATCCAACACACAAAATTTCACCCCCCCCAACGGCATAACAAAACAATCAATTGTGAAGCCATGTTCTACATAACAATCGGAACACATATTAGATGACACAAATACACAACACAACTAAAACCACAATGATTCCATTAAATCCTCAAGCTAAGCGTATATACAACATATTGTTCAACAATGTACTTATTTACCTAGTTAATCAACAATGTAGTATATATTTAAATGTACCTAATTCAAAAAAATTTGTGTGTAACAGTGTAAAGATAAAATCTTTCTAAAATATCTAATACTACATACTACATAGAAGTTTGGCTTAGACTTGCTCATGCACAGACTACTATATTTAGTCATAAGAATAGTGTATTCAACTTTTGTCATTACAGTCATAAGGTAGATGTAGTGCTCAGACAAACACAAGAGCAACCAATAACACTTAAGAAAGCAACATCAAAGCAAATGGGCTAATACATGAATAGAAACCACAACAAATTGTAAATTACAACAATATAGTACATACATTGTAAATTACAAACATAAATTCCCAAAAAAAATCATAAACAAGTAAAAAAGTTAAATTAAATACATACCTCAAATACGATCAATTTACTGCGTAAAAGTGTTAAACAAAGGAGGAATAATTTTTAGTGAGTATGATGAAGATCTAAGCAATGGGAAGTGATGAATTTGCTGCAAATATGGAGGATTGGCCAAGGACCATGAGCGGGTTAGGGTTTAGGAATTGGGTTTTTTTTTTTTTTTTTTTTTTGAAGAACAATGAAAAAAATAGAAGTAATTTGCGAAATATACCTGATGCAAAAACGCCAACCAGGCTGGTGCTTTTAGTACAACGGTAAAACGCCAACCAGGCTGGCATTTTTACCTTGACTGAAATTTTTTTTAAAAATTTTGGCTAGGGTAAAAACGCCACCCTGGATGGCGTTTTACCCTGGAAGCTTAGTTTGGTAAATAGTTTTGCCACGCATCTACTATGGAGTATTGTTTCTCAATTAAGCTTCCTTTGGTAATTTTTCCGAAAAATTACAAACTTGGTGGTGTTATAAACATCTTCATAAAGTCACAAAGGTCATGTTGTTTTACATGATATAGAACCAAAATGACAATTGTTGCGACGTGGTGAACCATTATCTTAAAATATAGTAATGATGGACTGTTAGTTTGTTACCCGGGAGGGGCGCCCATGTCCAATACTCGGGGGCATAATTGTCTTTTCGGGCGATTAGACCACAGTAAGCCATTCGAGCCTACGATCACATTCATGAACGTCTTTTATAGCCCAAGACCAAGGATTTCGATGACTAAGGGCTTGGTTCGTGGAATTGGTCCAAGTAATGGACTAAGGAAGAAGAAATTGGGCCACAAGTATTTGAAGCCCAAAAGAGAAACTCGGCCAAGAAAAAGACCGGGCCCGATCGGGCGGATGCTCAGTGAAGTAGAGAAAAGAAAATGGCGGGCTCGATCGGGCGACCCTTCGCCCGATCGGGCGCGTGTTTTTCCTAAGTGTTTTAAGACTTGTCGTTTTTGGTAATTTGGGGTTGAGTATTTAAACTCTTTTGTAAGCTTTTATTAGCTACGTTTCTTAGATTGCAAATTTCATTCTTAAGTTTTAGAGAGGTTTTAGTGAAAGATTATTGTTGAACTCAAGTTTTCCCCATTTTACTGCAATTTCATATTTCCTTCATTCGATAATATTTCTTGTCTCTTTTATTGCTTTAATTATCGCTTTGATTTTAATTGCTTTGTTTATTTTTGCTTTCATTTTAATCATGTTTTCTTTAATTATATGCTTTGATTAGTTTAGATTTAAATATGTGTGAGTAGTTTAATTCTAAGGTTCTTGGGGGATTGTAGACACCTGATTGTGTCTCCCCAAAAACCAAACTCAGTGATGAGTACCTTTCACGTCTTTGATTATCGAGTTAGGTGAAGAGTTGAAGAGTCTTGTGAATTCCCTTTAGCTTTTACCATTTATAACCTTTCCTAAAATGTTTTAAACCAAAATCATTTATTTCGTGTCCTCTTTCTAAAATTGTCCAGACCAGTCTATTTTGGTCCTTAATCCCTGTCTAATTATTGTTTAGTTGGATGGGCTTGAAAAGAGTTTTTCAACGATATATTATAAGCCCAAATCCGAGTTATAACAAAGAAATTATGGCCAAAATACTAAACCAAGCCCAAACCGAGCCTTATCTATGACCCAATGACCGTGTGAAGGGTCCATCAACCTTATCCTTATTCCTAAACCAATTAGGATTTATTACAAGCTTCTAGAATCCTCTAGAAGGTTGTTTTCGATCCTAAATCCCTAAAGATTTTTTATTAGCTTTTAGAATCCTCTAGAAAGTTCTAATTTATCCCGTTTTTGAAAAGACAAAGACTTAAGAATTTTACACCGGATAAAACACTTGTTTTTTTTAATGATTTTAATTCTGATAAAATTAGAATATGTACGAAAATTCGATTAACCCAATTTGATTCGAAGTCGGATTCCGTACGGATTCAATCTTCCAAAAACCATCGTTGAGCGACAGTACCATCGCGTCATGATGAGTGCCATTTATGACACTCATTTGATGAGTTTTTAGGCTGTTTTTACCTTCTTTTTATAGCGTTCTTTCTTAAGAAATGCTTAGTTTTATTCACTTTCTCTTTAGTTTCTTATTCTCTCTTATTTTGTGTTTTTGTGGATTTTCTAGTGTTTCTCCTTCTTTTGTTCTATTTTCGTGGTTGTAGGTATTGTATGAGGTTCAGGTCTTGATATTGGTGGCTTACTAAGTTGGAAGATGCCTTTGGAGCAAGCTTATAGCATTGGGAAAGCTCAAGAAGTAAGAAAGTGGCATGCTCCAATATCTAGCTCTTGCGCTCTCATGAAACCATGGTGTTGAACCCACCGTAAAGTCCATTTGAATCTGCCACGCTTAGTGACTATCATGAGGGGCGCACCATTCACATCATGCATGCACCGAAGTAGTGTCCTGCTCAGCGAGCGCGGGCGCGGGCGCGCATCTTCATCTTGCGCGGACGCGCAATCGAGGTCCATTCCGTACCCTTTTTATCGCGAGCGCGATTGATGTGGAGAGGGCGCACAACCTTGCTTCCGGGTTCATTTCAAGCTTGTTTTCCCGCCTCTTATAAATACTTTAAGACCCAATTTTTGGAAGAAGTTTTTTGACATTATTTCCTCATAATTTTAGCTGAGTTGAGAGTTTCTCTCTCTAGTTTTAGGTTTAGTTTAAGGAGTAGATTTAGAGAGAGAAAGTGAGAGATTTCAATGGTGATTTGAGAGATTGATGATGCAGGGTGACAGTTGTATTGAAGATCTTCTCAATTATCAATGAGCATTTCTAACTCTATCTCATCTTATTGCTTTGTTTAATTTCATGTTTGTTTGATTTGGTTTTGATGATTGAATCTTGATTAGTGTAGTTGTTCTTCATATTTGTTGATTCTTGATTTCATTACTTGCTTGTTGATTAGATGATGATTCTTGAGTAGTTGTTTTGCTAGGGTTTGGGTGCAACTTATATGATTGGTTGATGTGATTAATTTGGGAATTATGTTGATTGATTGTTGAGATTAAAGTGATTAATGTAAGTTTGCATGTGTGTAGTTTAA